ATCACCACCCCCAACTCGGAATTTCCCGAAAGCGGACCCCAAATTTGGAATTCATTTATATTAGAGCACGTAAATACTTTGACCTACTAATCACTGTTCATAACTTGGTTTAAAAAATTAACTTTACATTATAACAACAAGATCATTAAACTGAAAAAATTTAAGCATTACATTTTCATTATAGCGGCATGTAAATGTTGACTATAGGTCCATGAGATCACTAGTTTATTAATAGCTAATGTTGTTTTTTTATCTAAGTAAAATGTAACTGTAACTCTGTCTAATGTTTAAGAGATTTGTAGCTGTATAAGGTGTAGTTATAACTAAAATTCTGTTCGGTATAAAATAATCTGTCGTGCACGGTCTAGCTGAAAGTCTAAAACTTCATTTATTTGTGTAAGTCCTAAATCTTTTCAACATTTGATTATTTTTATCATATTTGTAGGTTAATTGTGTTTTATTTTATATGTAGTGCTTTAATTTCGGGTAACACAAAAAAGCTTGTGAAATCCCTTTATTGGGCGAATTTTATGTTTTAAATTATTTAATTTCAATTAATCGTTTAGGCTACTCGTATGCAATGCAAACTTTTAAAATACTTTTTCTTTGCAGTTTTTGGCCTAATAACTTTATAAAGTTTCATATTTGGATCATCCTGTTGTTTTATTCACTTCTAAGCCTGGAAGCCAGTAAGGTTCGATAAGAAGACAAAAAGGCATTTGTTTATCTTCATCTTCCATGAGATTCAGGGGAATTTCTACAATATAACTTTTATCTTTTCATGCAGAATTATTTTATAGGTTTATAAACTTTACCTGCGTTATCCCGCTCGAGCAACTTCATTATATTTGCACTGACAAACGTTTTTTCTCCCCTCTGTAATGTACATGATGATTATAAAGAAAACCTCACATTTAGAATATTTATATTTCAAACATTATGTCTCCATGGAAACAAAATGTCACCAGAGGCACATTGGGAGTAATAAATTTAATTCAGGAAAACTGACATGATAAACGGTGTTTCAAAAATTCTTTTATACTTCCTACTTACATCTCTTTTCTCACAAATTGGTTTTGATTAACCTCTCTTTCAACAATATGAGATTACAGGATATTGCAAGGATCAACGAACACTATCCAGAATAGATTATACTTGCGGTAGATTCATTGATGGATAGGCTTGATATGCTGATTGAGCATGGTAGCAGGCATAATGAACACCTTCTGTGATAGTTAGACAGAGAAATATTCCACGGTTAACTTTCCTGCATAAAATTTATGATTTACAATGTGCCTCAGGCGAAATTTGATTTCCTCACAACAAATAGTTTGTGAGATTTCAAATATAACATTTTCTTTATCACCATCATGAACATAAAGCTACACAGCTTATTTTATCTAAAGATAAAAGAAAGGTTGCTATGTTTTGTGTTAAACCTGAATTTTTACATGATAAGTCCTCAAGCTTATCACTGACCCATCGGGAGTGAGAGTCAAAATGGTTTGTTTTACTATTGTATTTTCACACGAAGATACTCGCTAGCCAACCCTAAGTTTGAAGTGAAGCATCAGAAGAAAGAAGGTTAATCAACACCATTTACTGCCTATGGGCTGCTCTTTACCAACGTAAACTGTCACTTATAACACGGTGGAAATAGCGATCATGATCGGCGAGGCTAGGCCGTGCTAGGCCAAGTCAAAATGGTTTGTTTTATTATTGTATTTTCACACGAAAATACTCGCTAGCCGACCCTAAGTTTGAAGTGAAGCATCAGAAGAAAGATGGTTAATCAACACCATTTAATGCCTATGGGCTGCTCTTTACCAACGTAAACTGTCACTTATAACACGGTGGAAATAGCGATCATGATCGGCGAGGCTAGGCCGTGCTAGGCCAAGTCAAAATGGTTTGTTTTATTATTGTATTTTCACACGAAAATACTTGCTAGCCGACCCTAAGTTTGAAGTGAAACATCAGAAGAAAGATTGTTAATCAACACCATTTACTGCCTATGGGCTGCTCTTTACCAACGTAAACTGTCACTTATAACACGGTGGAAATAGCGATCATGATCGGCGAGGCTAGGCCGTGCTAGGCCAAGTCAAAATGGAGGCTTAATTAAACATTTGTATATCACTTGAATAAGCTTAAATTTGCCTGTATTTCTTCCTGCGTGTATTTGCAGTGTTGCTAAAATACATTACTGTAGAATAATATCTTCCCTCGTTTTTGTTTTATGTCATAAAAATTTTAATTACTTCAAATTCTAGATTACTTAGAAAATCAAAAATTTAATAAAACAATCTGTAGATAACGACCTAATAGGAATAACGTTGATACCTAAGACGAATTGATGTAGGGTTAACATCGAATATACGACTCGATTGTGCGTGATGGCGACGTAAAATCTTAAGTTTTCACCTATATTATTGGAAAATATGTAGAGTTGCATATAAAGTTCTGCTTTAATAGATTAATTTTTCATTGATCTAAAAACGTTATTATTATCTTGATTCATTGAAAAGACTATCACGGCACAACAGGTTTATGTGTTCGTTATAGGTATTCTGTGTGGCTGAAAAAAGTTGTGTTCCGCTTTTCTGGCTGTGAAGGTTAGTTTAATAATTTTGTCTTTTTCTGCCCTCGGCATTACGAACACCAGATACTCGACTGTTTAGATTTTCCTTCCTAAGTACATTTTCTCAGAAACGGCTTTCATGGACTTCTACGTGTCCTTAATTTATACATTCTTTCGTGGCTACACCGATTTAAGAAGTATTCATTAAACCATTCATAAAAAATAAACAAAAGGTAGTTGGCTCGGATGGCTCTATTTAGCTTTAAAATATCATGGTCTCTTTAGTTTCTATGTTTAGAGCGTGACTAGCACCTAACAATTTCAAGTTCTGCGCATCTCCCAAAGGAAATATAACACACAGTATGTAGCTTCCCATTGGGAAACACCTGAGCACGAAGCACTGACTTGTTTGCGAGGGCGGAAAAATGTGTTATTCTGGTATTATTCGTTTCTACTGGTATATATTATATTCCTGTCACTTTTCCTTAACGACCGTCATTAATAAAATCTCCGCACGGGATCTGTAGTTGTCGAAACTTGGAAGATAAACCTAAAATTGATAGCAATAATCACCATACGAACGAATATGACAGCGGGGTTCTGAAATACCCGGTAAGAACTGTACGATTAGTTTTGTGTGCCCTCTATGCTTGAATCAAAATTTATTGAAATTACTCGCCTATTTACTTGAAGCAGTCAAAATAGAACTTGGTCGTCTAATTTTCGACTACCGCTCACTAAGGAGGTCGTCGAAAAATTATCTGGCTAAAGGTAAATTTGTCTATGTTTGTATTTTGTATTATGTTACGTAATCTTATATCCTCAATTTATGCAATGTGGATACTTTTATTGACAAGACAGAATATGAAACTTCTAGTCTGTCACACTATATCCACTACTTATTATAATGAAATCTGTGAAAGAATGTCCGAAAACTGATTTTAACATGAAAATACAGAATGTTCTTTTAAAAAAAATAACGACATCCGAAATGTTGAAAGATTATACAACGGGTTAAAATTCTTCGAATTTAAGCGATCTGGTTTTATTGTATCTGCTAGAATTGAAAATATCTGTAAACTTTCGTACGTATTGTATTTCAGAACCATTTTGCATAAAACATGGCATATGATGATAACAATATGTCATCCCGTGCTAGCAACAAGGCCTCAACACCTGACAGAATACCATTGATCAGCGGCAGAGGATCATTTTGTCGAATCACTCAAAAAAGCGTTTCCATGGAAGAGCATAAGTACGTCCCATACTTTAGATACCTTCGTCCGGAACAAACTACTGGCTGTCGAATAACCAAAAAAAGTCTAGGTATGGGTGATTATAAGTACATCTATCCAATAATTGATCAAAATGGAAAAACAAAAATGGTTAGTGAGCATGAATTTCACTGCAGAATAACAGCAAAGTATCGTGCTATGGCAGGCCACAAATATATTTACCCAGTGTTGGCTGGAAACGATGAGGAAATATGTCGTGAGGACCTTATTCCTGTAACTACAGACAGTGATATCATCCAGGATGTGTTGGTTCCAGATGAACTGCATATTATAATAAATGGCGGTATCCACGAAGTACTAAGAAATAAAAATGGAACTGACTTATATATATCTGGTAAAGAAGGCGATATACTTCCAGCAAGTATAAATACGATGACTATGAGTAAAAAAGTGGTGGACGGTAAAGTAAAAAGAAGCAGAACAGCACCGTTGTGTTTGAATAAAGAAAAGGATATTACATGTACAACAGGTTTATATTCTTCTGAAAATCCTCAAATAAAAACACTGAAAGATGTTTTACAGAGAAAAAAAGATGAAGGGCTTATGCAAACCTCGTGGAAGCATGAGATAGGGGCTCAATCATGTTCAATATCTGAAACAAATATGCCTATTTCAAGAGTAAATATGTATGATCGACTCGTAGAAAATAACAGCACGTCCGAAATAGATAGAGAAAATGTCATCCAAAAGGAACATTCAAGAGATTTTCGCTCCAATGATTTATTGGAATCAAAAAGTGGGAACGAGAAAGAACAATTCATGCCTAAACTAATCGAATCGGAATATTCTACGGAGATCCTACCTGTAGTTATTGAATTTGAAAAAGACAAAAATTGTAGTAAAAGCTTAGTGGAAGAAACCAATTTAAGACAGAACCTGTTTACTCCAAATATTCTTCTTGCCAGGCATTACCTGAAGGTTATGAAATTACAAAAGAGAATCATAAAAGTATTAGTTTAACTAAAAAAGGTCAAACTAACTGTGAAGTTACTGATTCAAAAGAATCTTTTGTCCATGTTGTACATGAAGTTAGTGCACTTAACAAAGGAAACTCTAAAGTTGTCAGCTCAGCAGAAATAACGTCAGCCAAGATTGAAAACGATTCTTCTCAGCGTCACGTGACAATGGCTACACACAACATGTTTTCCGCCCAGTCCAAAGAAGCTTATTTAGCTCCTTTAGTAGGCCTCCCAGTAAATGCTGACTCTAAAGGCCAAAGCTGTGTTAACTGCACAAGTAATGATCGTTATACTGTATCACATGAAGTAGTTGAGTCTAAATCCAGTACAGACCCTTTAGTTTCGAACGCAAGCGGTTTAATTGCCAGCAAAGAACATACAGAAGGGCAAAGTGAATTTACTAACTTTAATGAAGACAACATATTACATGGCTGCGATCAAAATACAGTTTTGAAATCTGTTGTAGAACCTAAAGGAGAAGAACGAATTTTAAGCACAGGGGAGCATAATAATTTAGGTTTTGAAAAAAGAATCAAAGAAGTGATTCAACACGAACGCTCAAAAGATATTGTGGATACATCAGACGTAACATATACATCAGAAGGCCTTAAGCTGCAACAAAGTGGAGATTCTAAAACTGATAAATATTACTTGCAAAGAGCGAATGTATCAGTAGCTCAGTGTTTTAAGAAGGGTGAAACAGCCTTATCCGCTATAAAACCTATTGTTCTTGGTTCATCACAAGAAGCTATGTCATCTCACCCCAAAGGAAAGTTTCGTCATGTGCCAAAAAAGGTGAATAGTTCTTAACGTTTGTTTGAAATGGATTTGCTATCATTTACCTATGCATATTTTAATGGAAAACTTTTCATTGTAAGTTCATTTTTTCCATAAAGTAACTTGTGCTGTCCCGTGCAGCCTTGTTAAATAAAAATGTTTCCTTGTCCTTATGCTATGTTAATACCTTAATTCTGAACATTTCTATAATGCACATGTTACCTCCTAGAGGCGCCATGATTGTACTCCCATGTATGTAATTTTATGCCCCCGAAGTGTGCTTAGTGCAGATAATTCATTGTATAGCTTTGCACTTAAGCACAAATAAACAACGTACTTTTATAGTTATTGACATTCATTTATCTATTGCAGTCTATCATTTTTTGTTATTAAATCTTCATATTTCATTATGTAATTTGTTATTGTTTTTTTCATGCTCTACGTCCACTGTATATACATTTTTATCGTTACTGTTAGTTTATCTTCTAAAGATGCATTACGTAATTTGTTATTGTTTTTTTCATGCTCTACGTCCACTGTATATACATTTTTATCGTTACTGTTAGTTTATCTTCTAGAGATGCATTACGTAAATTGTTTATTGTTTTTTCTTGCTCTACGTCCACTGTATATACATTTTTATCGTTACTGTTAGTTTATCTTCTAAAGATGCATTACGTAATTTGTTATTGTTTTTTTCATGCTCTACGTCCACTGTATATACATTTTTATCGTTACTGTTAGTTTATCTTATAGAGATGCATTACGTAAATTGTTTATTGTTTTTTCATGCTCTACGTCCACTGTATATACATTTTTATCGTTACTGTTAGTTTAAATTTTTTAAATCGTTATTTATTAAGTTAATACGTTTACTTTTTATGCATTTTTCTCGTAACTGACAATTCTAGGGGCGTCGCTAGGCACTAACACACGGGGCCCGTGCCCCGAATCCCCAGTTGATGTTTTGAAAAATCAGAATAGAAAACCATAATCGAAATCATATTGAAACGCCGAAAATCCTCGCGCTTTTGGGCCCAAGCCCCGAATCTTTTGAACACATAGCAATAGCATTGTTTGATCATTAAAATACATAGTTCCTTTGTTGCTCAACTTATTTAGCAATTATTAACGTTAACCGATATAACTATGT